AGAGAACATCTTACTAGTTTCATTATCAAAGTCCATGTTCTTTCTACCAGGTACTAAGGAATTTCATTCAACTTGCATGGAAACATCACAATGAAGCAGGTGTGTTTTACCCTCCATCTAGGAGGAAGAATATAAAAAAGACAGAGAGCAACAGCTAAGGGCACGTAGCACATGCTCACAGCTGTGAATCACCTTTCTCTGAGAAGTGCGGGAACGACACAATGAAGATTTACTTAGTAGTTTTATTATGTGTCAGACATTGTGCCACGTGCTCTACATTACCATCTTTGTAAGGACGGAAGTTTAAATGATAATCAAGTTATATGCTTATGGAATAGTGAAGTTAAATTAAGGACCCAGGTTATTTAACTCACTGGGTCGCTTACTTAATTACATGTGCACATATACTTTCTTCTTTGAAGGAACTCAGGTTAAATACTCATCTTGATGCAATATGACATAAGGGCTGAGGAGATAAGACTATGAGAGATAATGACAGACACAAGGTGAAGAGAAACAGATGTACATTATAATGTGCTTTAGGAAGTAAGTTGTCTAAATACTAAAAAAAAGTGGGGCAGTCATATCTGTGTAAGCTAACTGGACCCTGACTGAAGTCGAAAAGAATGGGCTATTTAAAAGACAAACAACAAGAGCTGCAGAGATGGCTCAGCGATTACAAATACTTGTTCTTGCAGAGGACCAGAATTTGGTTCCCAACACCCACATAGAGGCTCATACCTGTCTTTAACTGTACTTCCACAGGATCTGACACTCTTTTCTGGCCTCCCTCTAAAGACACCAGGCATACACATAAAGTCAAGACAGGAAGATAAAGCCATCAAACACTGACATACAATAGTACTATAAGATCAGAGTAGCATCAACTTTCTGGTTGCAGAAGAAATAAGTCTTCTCTCATGAATGTGGCACAGATGCAAACTTTCACAGCAGGGCCATTTGGTGGATGGGCACATTATTCTTCAGATATTACTGTACCAAAATGGACTTAGCAATACAGGCTTATGAAGAGGAGATAAGTCCTAAGGGACCACATCTAGATTTGACTAACACAGTTCTGAAGGTAACCAATCACTTAGGGCTGGTCAATAAACTTCTTCTACAATTTTCATATCAGGGTTTCTTTTGTATTTATAATTCAGCCTATGCATGCTGTCAGGTCGCAAAGACTCAGGACAAATGGCTAACTGTGGTGCCTATTAGCATACACAGTACATGCTGGCCTCAGGTTCTCTCAGCATCACAAGTACCTGGCATAGTCCTGGCTCCTCTCAGCACTTCTCACCCCCTACCCTACCTTAAACCTCTTCAAGCCCCTAAGCTTCACTTTCCTTTCCCCCAGCTTCCATACCCAGATAACCCAGCCATTTCAGCCAAGCACTCTCTTGGTCCTCTTCTCTTGGATCCTGGTCCCCTCTTGCCCTTCTCTCTTCATTCTCTCCTCTCATGGACAGGTCTATTCTGCTGGCCATGTTCCTTTTCAGTCTGGACTCTTATGGCTGTTCTCTCTCATATCTACAGTAAAAATCTTCTTCTTAACCATACCTAGGAGTAGTCATGTTCTCATTTTTATTCATGTACACTACAAGAAAATTTCAAACTCTCATTTTTTTTTCTATAAAGAGCATCCAAAGAAGTGACAAAAATAAGAAATTGGGAGACAGTTTTACGACAAGGTAAAAGTATGTGCTTAAGAGGTTAGTGTGGGCATTCCCATGAGCTACCTAAATCTCTGTCCCTAGGCTTTGGTACTTTACTGGGAATGTGTCCAGTGCTTTAAAGTGTGTATTAAGAATAGAAGTTATTAATAAAAGTCCTCTTCTTCTACAATGCATTTAAATATACAGAAGTAGTTGATACTAATCTTTCTTCTGAATGTAGTGTTACAATTGTGCCCATGCTTGGTCTCCTGAATTTTAACAAGCATTGGTTAAATTTCGGTACTGGCAATTCAGACCAAACACAAAACTTCATGAATTGTGTGCATAATTTTAACATTCCTATTAGTACCACAGCAAGTTCTAACCAATTCATCTAATTGTATTAAATTATCTAAATGTAAGACTTATATGGGGGCTGAGAGATGGCTCAGTGGTTAAGAGCACTGACTGTTCTTGCAGGGGACCCAGGTTCAAGGTTCAATTCCTAGTCCCCACATGGCAGCTCACAACTATAAATCCAGTCCAGGGGATCTGACATCCCCACACAAATGCAAATTTTTAAAAAAAGACATATAACACCTTTTATACTGACATGATAATGCGGTGATAGCTGCATACATTAAAGCTATATAAAACAGTACTCAATGAAAAGTTTAGAATTCAAGTTGAATGAAATTAAAACTTTCAAAGTATTTTAATATTTGAATATCTATCTTTGACTTAACCCAGTTGATTTTGATCTGAAAGAACTCAGAGGTGAGAGTGAAATGCATTTGTTAAATTTACTGCTAATTTAAATGAACTGTGAAGTTTGTCCACAATTACATAAAAAAAAAAAAAGATTTCATACAATTAAAGCTCCAAATGAAAAGCACCACCCCCCGAACTTTACCACTGTCTTGCTCCTGTAAAAGCAGATGAGTAATCAATAAGACAAACTGGTTTATTTCTTAAAGAAAAATTGGTTTGGTCCATACTTATAAAGTTTGTAACTACAGGAAATCTAATCACACCATTTAGTTTCAGGTTACAAAAGTTCTAGATACGGAGATACTTAAATGTAAAACTTTGCTCTATATGGAAAGCCAGAGGAGATTCTGGGGAGGTGTAAGACTGCTTGAGATGAAAACATACGCCGGGGGGTGGATCTCAGTGCTTTTGAGGCCAGCTTGGGCTACAGAGTGGCTTCCAGGAAAGGCTCCAAAGCTACACAGAGAAACCCTGCCTCGGAAAAACAAAACAAAACAAAAAACCAGAAACAAAAACAAAAACAAAAAAAGAGATGAAAACATATAGGATTACTTCCTTTCTCTAACCTCTATAAATTTCAATTACCATTTCCTAAAGAAAAGAATAAGCAATGACTGACTAGCTTCTTACTTTTAAAAGACTGTTTCTGACCTCAAGTACACCATAATTTTTGAAAGGCTCTGTGAAAACCAAAATACAATATTGCCACCAAAATAAATTTAGTTCTCTGGTCAAAGTTAAAAAAAATGTGCTTAGACATGGTGAATAATGCTATTTTAGTAACTAAACAATCCCAAACAGGACCCAGGCAAGATTTAACTAAATGCTATCAGGACTCCTTTCAAATCCCCAACTAAATTCTGAAACACAGTTAATTACTATAAAAGAATAATAACATCCATCCTCTCTATCTATAAACATCAGCACGGTATCTGTTTTACATTTCTTTTATCATGGAACAAATTACATCATACACCTAAGTTATATTAGAGAATACCAGATCCCCTTATGAAATTAATGAAGGCTATAGGTATTATTACCTACACATACATACAAATATGTATGAACTGAGGTAGGGAAACAAAATTAAACCATACTAAATAGGATACAGCATTTTTGTTTATTTTTTAAGCTAATTAGCATATATGAATGGTAATACCAAATCCAGAAGGCAGCAGCAAATCCCAGATTGCCAAATACACCTCAAAGCAGGAACAAACTGCCTAATCCAAGACCAAAAGCAGTTATTAAGGTACAGTGTAACAGCTTTTTTTAAATGGTAAATGGAAAAGGTCCTATCAAGCAGTTGGCCTTGCAGCAAGATTAAGGAATCTAGATTTTCTTTAGGAGTTATAGGAGGTTGAAATAAAAGGTTTTGTACTTTTGCAAGGTCATTATAGATGCTACATGGAAAATTTATTAGAAGAAATATAGCAAAACATGAAATGGGGAAACTAATTAGGAAGCAGTCATAGGAGTCTAGGATAGAAAAAATACCTCCTGGGGTAGATATGGAACAAGAACTGGTTAGAGGTATTTCAGTGGGGAGCAATAACAGGCTTATTTAGAAAAGCAATGTTGGCAACAAAAGAAACATTTTCCCTTGTTTCAGACTTAGCCAACAATGTAAATAAATGTAAGTAGTTTTTAAGGTGACATTTTTTTTACAGACAGAGAAGGAACAGGTAAGGAGGGGAAAGTATTGTTTTGAGTGTTCACAATTTTAGAGATAGCTGCCGAAATGTTTAAGGAAAAAGTCAAGTTGGAGAATAAGATGGAAGAGTTAAGCCAGAAATACAAACCAAGAAGAACTGAGCAGAGACCATGAAATAGATTAGATCACACAGGCTGGTAGTTTTCAGATTGGGTATGCAGGTGGCTCAAACTTGCTTAATGAAGATGCAGACTGGGAGCCCACCTTGGAAGATCTGCTGTATTTATTAAGTCTATAGCACATTCTGATGCAGCTGACCTTTATAGTATGTTCTGAGCATTTACCTAAGAGAGACAAGAACAGAAGAATAGGTCTGGCACCAATAGCCAAGAAGTACAAACACTTCAACTTTAGGTAAAGAGGAATGCACAGAGACCACTGAAGAGAAAATGGAGTACAGGGAAAAGCAGAGTGGAGAGAGAATAGTCAGCTGTGTTGAGTACCAATGAGAAAAGCCCCAAGAATGAGAAGAACAATGGGTGCAGAAAGGTCAAAGATAACAACACTGATAGCAAGAGGGAGACACAATCTAGAACTTTAATCAGAGAGGAAAATGATGACGTTGAAGACATTTAGACTTTGAAGAGAGTAAATACAAGATGCAGTAACTGGTGGGAGGGGCCCACAAGGGAAAATTTAGGATCCTTTCATGGCCCATTTCTGACAGATCTATGATGTTTCACCAAAAATTACTACTGAATTTTACACAATAATTTTTTTAGCCCCAATTTCAAATGTTAAATATGCCACCAATGGTTGGGGTATTTAAAATTTCCAGCATAAACAGAGCACCGAAGTCTCCAGTGTCCCGCTCCACATGCCGCACCATTTCACTGCTAGTATAGGTCATTTACCCTTGCAAGATCCTCTATTTCAGAACTGAAGTTTGTCTCTCCTTCCATCATCTCTTCTTCTTCTAATGTTCGCTCATCATCAAAATCATGAACCAGCATGTCAGCTGATGGATCAAACTCATGGTCCTCTGATGTTGCTGAGCCTCCTATAAAGAACATTTCCAGATGTATGGTAAACCAAATTAAGTGCATCTTACCAATGTTAATTTAGTATATATGCATTGTTTATTTGAGGCTGGATGTAAGTTAAAAAGGACCAGGAAAAAGATAGACACAGTAAATGTTTTTGCTTTAAAAAATAAGCTTTACTCATCCCCACTCCTAAAAAGCTCATACAAGGAACTACTGTTTGCCAAGCTTACTCCTATATGTTACACGGTGAAATTGGGGTAGAATATTTTTAACTTAAATTTTTTGCTGTAATCTTCTAAACAGGAAACTAAGTTATAAAGAAAAAAGAGCTCCATCAAGTAAGAATCGTCTTTTTTTGTGGAGGGGAAAAACCATTTTTAACCACCTGTTTAAGGTTTGAGAATCTCTTTGGTCCTTGAAAATCTGAACAGTCACATACTGTGGATGATTTTCTAGGTCGATGACAGGCTGCACATATGACAGTGGCTACATCACATAGTATAGGTATGCGGCAGGCTTGTAGAGGTATGCTCTATATTAACTGCTCAGCCACCTGAGTTTATCAGAATGTGTGCTTGCTGTTAAGCAACACTTGCCCATCTAGTGAAAATATACATGTACTATCAGCACCTCCTTGAAAACAAATTCTAATATTTGAGTAATTATCTTGAACTTATGCAGGTGATTTGAAATAACTCAGGGGTAACAGAAGTAAAATGTATTAAAAGCATATATAAAATTTTTATTAAAGGAAATACAAGAAACTCAAAGGAACTGATATATCCTAATCAATATTTAGCCTGGTTTGGGGGAATGTTGCTAGATTTAAATAGACTGCAAAAGCTAGGAATGTGGGTGTTCTGTAGACATTTCCCACATTTTGATTAGTGCCAAACCAAGACTTCAGTTTGCAAAAGCACTGCTTACTTATAGACAAGTATGTCATTTAACATCGGGAAAAAAAGGATCTTTTTATCAGTTCAAATTATTAAGAGTTGGATTAACAGCCACGCCAATCCCCTTATTTCACTCTATGTAAGAGAATCAGAAGTAAAAATGAAGAAATCAGGGTATACCAATGGCTAAGAATTCTTTAGTCAACTCCCACAACATTCAGAAGAGCCCCCCCCCTTTAACTATGTGCCAAATAATAAGCTCAATCATTTGACAAACATTATCTCAATCCTCAAGCAGTGGTATGAAATAGGTATTATCACCCCATTTAAAAGGGGGAGGGAAGAGAAAGATACAAGGCTTAAGAACATATATAGTGCTTCAAAATACAGCAAAGATGGAACAGAGTCCCAGCTGTAACTTCAACTCCTGTGTTCCAAACTTCCTGTAAGTCCTCTACATGTCTTGTCTCAAAGAACACTTAAGGAGAGCCTAAGTTTACTAACATATGTGACCTGTAATCGCCAACAGGTGGCAAAACACCTGGAAGACACAATTCTTTTTTAGAAGCATTTGAAAAATAATATTAAATATAAAATAAGTAAATGCCAAGCCCAATTATTTTATACTAGATTTTAATGAAAATGAGTTATTTATCATTATGCAAGGTTCAGAATGATTTATATAAAAAATGGAAAAGCATCCTGTCTTAATTCCTTACAACAGACTGTCTTAATTTTATTGGTATTATAGTAGTAGTTGAACTACTGGGCAGGAGGGTTCTCATGAGAGCCCAAATAAGAACCATTAACTTGGAGTTTTGGTTTTTATCAACCTTTCAGTTTTCTGAACCTTTTCTTCTGAGACACTTAGCAGTCAAGAGTGAAGCAGTCTCACAGACTGTGCTACTCTTTTATTCACTCTTACAGACAGAAAGACTCTTTTAAAAAGGCTCTATTACTGGAGCTGGAGAAAGAGGACTCAGCAGTTAGGAGGACCTGTGACTTTTGCAGAGGATCTGGGTTCAGTATCAAACACCCACCTGATAGCTCACAACCATCCTTAACTCAAGTTCTAGGGGATTCTTCTTCTGAACTCCATGAGCTCCAGGCATGTGCACAGTACATATAAATACATACAAGCAAAACACCCATACACACAAAAAAAATTACATCACCACCCCCTCTTTGGACATTATTAAACTTAACATAGTTCTTACTGAATATACATATTGCCAAAAATAATTATGCTAAATTTTAACTACTCATTGTTATACTCTTATCCACTTACTTCCAAACTCACTAGAACACAGCACCAAGTCATGAACGTCATACTACTTACCTGAAATCTCTTATCTTTTGTCATCACTTGCAGACAGTTCTACTTGAAGACCTGTCACCTCACTCCCCACTACATTAAATCCAGAGTGTAAATGAGCTGCTCTTCTAATTCCAACTCCTTTCCCACATGCACATCACATAAAAACTTGCAATTTCAACTATTTTCTTGCTTTAAACTGGTGTTTGTTTTATGTGAGTTCTTACTACCTTATTTGCAAGTAATAACTAACCATCCTATTATTGTCTGCCATATGCTTAGACCCATTATTAGGAAAGTTTCCTGGAAGGGAACCTCAATAATGAGGACATCTTTTGCTTTGTACAAGTTAAGTATTTTGTTAGGGAGTTAAGATAATCACTGCTTTGTCATCCACTTTTGGATCACCTTTTTAAAGGCACTAAGATAACTTTAGGTTACAATGTACCATGTATACCTATTTAATCACTTAAAAACCTACCTCCCCTGTAACTGTGCCTGCACTTTGGATGATGCTGATGGAGCTTATAGATAAGTCATTTAGCCTAGTTATGTGACTATGACTACTAGCACTGACTCCCAAATACAGATGCTATGAAGAGCAGCCTATGACCATTAAACAATATTTTCTACATGAGAGAGGCCTCTATCCTTAATTCTATCAAGTTTTGTAACTCTAATTGTGCCTAGCAACAAATGCTCCTTCTGCCAAAGGCCCTAATGTTTATGTACTTATTAAAGAAACACTAAAGCTTAAGGAATCTGCAACCCTACATGAAGAAACAGGGAATCCATTTTCTTTTTTCAGCAAAATTTATTTCTGAAGTTTCGAAAAAAAATACTGGAAATATTTCTATATCCCACAACCAATATACTGGGGTATATACACTTTTCTGATCTCATGTTTACTTCTAAATCCTACCATCCTGAACTCACTTATAAATCACAAAGGTAAAAAAAAAGTTACAAAGACCAATATACTTTACTCTTGAGCATACAGAAAAAAGACAAACTACTTTTAGCTGAAATAAAGCCAAATCAAGTGTCAAGTCAACACTCAAGTTATTTAATAGTGCACTCCAACTTCCAGAACACAACAATTTATGCCCATGGAAAGCACCCTGGACTATTAAAAGACTACTCATGTTAAGCACACACACGCACACAAAGCTTTCTAAAAATTACAATACAAGCTTGGCAGTGGTGGACTCGGATTTAATACCAGCACTCGGGAGGCAGAGGCAAGTGGAACTCTAAGTTCAAGGCCAGCCCTATCTACAGAGCAAGTTCCAAGACAGCCAGGGCTGTGCAGAGAAACCCTGTTTGGGGGTGGAGGGCAAGCACCCCCCCAAAAATGAATGAAAAAAAAAAAAACCCAAAATAAAATTACAATACAACGCAGATAGCTTCAATTTGCAAATTTCAGCAACATGATGCTAAACTTTGCTAAGTATTCAATGTGTGAGTTATTTTCAAACAAAACACACTTCAGTGGACTCCCAAAGAGTAAATGTGTGCAATATTGAAGGGAGAATATAAAAATCCTAGATGAACAGTTAAAGTATATACAACCTACTCAAATCTATAAATAAATTCTTTGTTTCCAATGCAACTCCCCTGCTGAATGGCTGACTTACTTTACTATGCCCTTCAATGATAAACACATTAATAATTTTTTATCAAATAAAATGTTGAATATCTTTAAGCTAACTGACTCCTTTTCAAAAGCATTATTTCATGTACACTTTCAGTTAAATAACAATTTTAAACTATAAGAAATATGTAAAGCCACTGAGAAGAGTGGAAGACAGGGAAGAGAAAGAGGGACAAAGAGAAAGAGAGGGAAAGAAAGCCCAGACAGGTAGGAGGATGAACTTGCCTCACCTGTACTTTCATGGGCAGTCAAACATTTCCTCCATTTCTTTTTCCCCAGAAAAAAGAAGCATTCAGAAGAAAAGCAAGTCAGATGACAGTCTAGCTCCTCTAGCCTTTATCTTAACTAATAGGACAAGTAGTCAAGCAGGATTATAAAAACACATAAAAATACTTACCTGGACTTGAAGACTCAACAGATGGCTGAGGGGAAAAGAAAACAAATTAGCATTTTTGTGTAGTGTACCTTTATAAACATTCTAAGAAGCACTAAATGACTAATGACACCAAAAACTTACAATAAGTTTTAATGTCTAACACAAACCGAAATTGTTCACATAATCTTTCCCTTCCATTATGCTTAAACCCCCTAAAAAATCTAGAACACTCTTGGATTTAGAAGCAAAAAAGGTAATATGAAATTAATTCTGATTTTAAAAGCAAACACAGTCCTCAAAAATATAGGTGAGTTAAGAGGTATGATTTTAGATATTAAAATCTTCAGTAATAGGTTTTATCCTACTTATACTGAGATAACCATACCTACACAAAATTTGCTAACAGTGGTTTCTAAAGCTCAAAACAAAAACCAAATTGTGAAACAGGAGGTAGAAACAATTACATTCCCTCCTGACCATGATACCAGGGACTGAACCCAGACCTTCACACACGCACACACTAGGCAAGTGTTCAACCAATAGGCTATATCCCCCACCTCACCCTCTAGAAGGACAAGATCTTTCTAAAATCCAGCATGGCTTTGATCATGATCTCCTGCCTCAGCATCCCAAGTGCAGAACTTACAGGTACCACTGTATCACTCATACATTAGCAACCTTAAATGGCAAAATATACAGATAAAACTGGTAGCAACTACTTTACTAATATTGCCACTTGACAGCGTCATTATTTTATCTCTGTCTTCAAACATAAATTCCTTCTAGACAAATTCAGTAACTTGGGAGGACTTAAAAAATGCCACTTCAGCCAGAGCTACCCACAGATGTTGTGAGAAGGAAGAAGCCACTGGGAAAAGAGCATGCTATTAAGAATATTTCCTCGGCTAAACACAACAGGACCGAGAGGTAAGACAATAAAACAAACGGGGAAAAGTGTTCAGTTTTCAAGAGCCAGGGAATCTAAGACAGATCTCTGTGAGGTATTTAAGTTCCATTTTGAAACCTGCCTCCGTTGTAAATGTGGTATTCTAGATTCCAGTTGTACTGGCTTCTTTTGAGGCGCTTTTTCAAAGGTCCAATTTCTACTTCTAAACTTTAGTAAGAGAACAGTTCAACCCTTCAACACTGTTTTTCTAACAACAACAACAAACAAACCCTAACAGTGTAGACAGTATTATATATTTCCTACACCACACCATCATTATTTCAAAGTCCCTTCAACACTGTTTTTCTAACAACAACAACAACAACAACAACAACAGCAAACAAACCCTAACAGTGTAGACAGTATTATATATTTCCTACACCACACCATCATTATTTCAAAGTCAGCAGGCTAAAACAGCTAAGAGAATTGTTTAGTTTGGTTTCTCTGATGAGAAGCTGGAGAGCAGGAGGCCATGGAAATAATATAACCATAAAAAGGGCAGAACTACACAGTTCTGATGTGAAATGGGTGTAGACACCAAATCTATTATCCAACAAATCAACATTTTAAAATCTTAATCCCAACTATAAACCTAACCTTTGGACAATTACATCATTCAATGACTTCATGTGGTTCCAATGAAGTTGATCAGTACTACAAAAAAGCTTCATCACATTCTTTCTCAAGTAAATGTCTGAAACAAATATACATGGCATAAACAACCACAACTTCTTACAGATTACGTCTCAAAGAGATACAGCTCCTGAACATAATTTTTTTTTAACATTATAATGTTTTATAGTCTTCTGATTAAAAAAGAAAAAAGCTTTCTGAAATCAAGTGTGTTGGCACAACTTTAATCCTAGTACTCAGGAGGCAGAGGCAGGCAGAGTTTAATGAGTCTGAGGCTGGTCTGGTCTACATAGTGAGTTCTAGACCAGCCAGAAATACACAGTGAGACCCCACCTAAAAAAGGGGGACGACGACGACGACGACATCTTTTGGCTAAAAATAACTACTACTGGACATGAAAAGGTTTAATGGCATTAGCTATTATCAATAACAGGATACTGAATATGGAAGCTGTGTATTTCAGTTTATAAGAGGCCTTTCATCAGCAGTAAATAATATCCCACTGATGAGTATTATCCAGTTTCCAGCTTGAAGTTCTAAAAAGGCCCCAAATACTTTCTATTCCTCAAGAGGCCTGTGTTTAGAGGACTGGCAGCATTGTTAAGCACAAGGTACTCTCTTAATGTTCAAAGAGATTTAATACTGTCAGACATGCTGGTCTTGATGATAGTATTCACAAGCTGGAGAAGGACAGGAGAAGCTAAATGTCTACACATTTTAGTTATTTCGCAAATAAAATTTTACCAGTTTAGAAAGAAAGGGTGAGAAATGTTTATTGTAACTTTATTGCATCCAATTAAATCAAAGATTACCTGCTGAAAACAAGAATTTTAAAAGTTCTTACTGTGAGCCTACCTTTATTCAAATGATAAAAATGATTCTTTCAAGAGAAAGTTGTATTTACTATCACAATATAGGGGTTTCAATATAGAATGAGAGAATTTTTATAGACATGCAAGATAACAGTGTGTGTGTGTGTGTGTGTGTGTGTGTGTGTGTGTGTGTATGTGTGTATTCACAGTGCTACACATTCTCAAATGGAGTTCCTTTATTTTAATCATAATGTAGCACCAACACCTATTGTGCCCACTCATTTCACACACAGTAAACTCTGGCTATGCACTGAAAAGATGAAAGTTCCATGGTGGTGGTGAAGACAGAACCGAGGAAGCCTATCACTCAAGATCCCTCTACACCTCATACCTCTGTGACAAAGTCAAACCTCACTGTTCCTTTTTTCCTCATTACTCTCTATTTCTAAAAACTTGTTACCGGCTCAAAGCATGCTTAAAATATGAAAACTGATTACTTATCTTGCTCAACAGTTATGTTTCCTTAGGAACTAGTCTCAATTTAACAATCTACTCCAAAACAGCTTGGATCATTTACCTTTTAATATTACAGTAAGTTAGAAAGAAGACAAAACAAAACTGTAAGTAAGTACTTATTTTAACAATATTTATTCTTATGAACTAAACAAAAAAAATTAAGAGGAATAAAATATCCTTAAAATAGATTCACATTATTGCTAAAAGAAAAAAATATGAATGACTGCAACCATTTAGGAGATATTTTACCAACATCAACACAGCCTACTATTACCCATATAAGTGAATGTGTGTGTGTATTATGTATTACCATAGCTTGTTTAAAGCGAAGAGTTGGGTGGAAATTTTAAATTCATTATTTATGTAGTTTAGAAATGATACATGGTTCTTCCAAGTAACAGAACACCACGAGTCTGTAGTATGATGATGAAACAGATTATGTGTTTGAGCTAAAAGGAGACTAGAAAAGATATTAAGAGTTTGATAAAAATCAATAATAATAGCTATATCCAGGGAATGAGTCAGGAGGCAGAGTGCTTTTCCATTTTATGTTTTTCTGTATTGCTGGAATTTTCAATTGTTTTCACATATTACTCATTCTTTTTTAAAAAGAAAATGAGGATTATCTTGTGGAATTATAAGTCTCTTAATTTTTTTTTTTTAAACAAAACAAAGCACTAGTGCTCTTTTATCCCAGCACTGGGGAGGCAGAGGCAGGTGGATCTGAGCTCAAGGCTAGCTTGGTCTTCAGACTGAGTTCCAGGACAGCCAGTGCTACACAGAGAAACCCTGTCTCAAAAACAAAGAACAAAACAAAACAAAAACCTAAAAAACTACTGCTTTTTACTATTTCTTAATTATAATTTTTTAAAGTTACAGTTTTATTTTTGATCTATACATGTTTATGTGGGATAGAAAACTAAATAGGCAGAAGGACATCAAAGGATACAAACAGGCTGAAATAAAAGCACGAGCTCTGCTACATTCCTCCTGTATACCACCCCCCTCCACAGTTAGTGATTCTGTTGATAAGGTCGCTGCTCTAATTTCAGTGCCTCAACTGTGTTCAATTCTTCACTTCTCTAAAACAGAAAACCCTCATTTGTGAGAGTCAAAGACCAACTCTAGAAAAAAAAAAAAAGAGACTAGATAACTATGATTTTTACAAAAATCAATGTGTTCAAAGGATTCACTAGATCTTCGGTGAAAAGAAAAATGACTTTCCCCCTCAAGCCAACTCTATCACCTTTTCTTTAAGTGTTGCATCACTTTCTTAGGAAGGTAGAAGATAAACCAGATTCATGAAGGAATTGAGGTAACAGGCTGAGATGGAGTTTGGGAAGCCTACCAGGATGCATACTGCAGGCATACTGTGTCAAAGGCTTACCATTCTACTCTCTTCCATACAAATGTGTATCAGTCAAACTTCTCTTTACTCTCAGAAATGCTGTTACTACTTGAAGTTGAAATTAGGAAATTTACTAGAGCAGCAATATTTCCGAAGGTAGAATGGCATTATGGAAGACAAGCACCAGAAACACAGAAATGTGGGTCTGAGACTTGACTGTGCTACACAGACTAATTGTGTTATGTGGGACAAAGTGCATTAACACCGATCAGTTTCATTTTCTCTATGGTGAAAAGCCTTACAATTCTTTAAGTTCCTTTGAAACTTAGGTTAACGTTCATTATGAATTATTCAAAATGCAGCTAAAAGGTGGGTAAGTTGAAGACTGTTTTCTGACTTGATTTTTTAACTCTATGACTACAGGAAAAGGCAATCTCAATTGGCATAAAGCTATTGTGTGGTGCTGCTTTAGAAACACACACACACACACACACACACACACACACACACACACACCCCTACCTCGCGCGTGTGCACACACATACTTTTTAACAGTTACATACCCACTGAAAAGCCCAAGCAAGTTTAGTCACTGCTATGAATTCTGAAGCCATTTGTTAATCCTTTCAAAGCACACAAGATTTGATCTGAATATCAAGCAAGAAATTTTAATATAGCTGTTTATTTCCAAAAAGACATACTCAGGCTTCATTGGCAGTATTTACATCTAAATTATAAGGGAAATTGATTAGTTTCACCAATATTATCTTAAATTAGCTCACTTCTCTTATTTCTCCCACCTAGGTTATCAAGTGCATTGACTCTTAGTCCCACCAAATTATTAAATATTTCAGGACTGTCATGCAGCACTGGAGTTCCTGACTAGTCTGGATAGCTTTCAGAAACAAATAATAAGCAGAGAAAATAAAACTCATCACCGCTATAGAGAACTGCTTATAGTTTAAATTTACTGCTGTTAAGGGAAACTAACACTGAAAAGAAACACAATCCAATTCCCTTAAAAACAAACAACCACCCAAAATCCAAGCAAATTCAAATAATGTTAAACAAGGAAATATTTTTAAGAGGGATGGATATAATAGTAAATAAATGTATCATTATTGAAAATATTTAAACTAATACATTAAGCAAGTCCATTTAAATATTTTGTTACAGAAGTAAGGCTCAGGTGAATAAAAGAGATCTTAAATTGTACTATGGCTTATTTTTTTTTTAAAAGAATCTCTGTATGTTTACATACTCTGAAATAAATGACAAAATTCTTTGTTCCCACAGGTCCCTGCACCACATTCCTTATAAAGCCCTAAGGATCAACTACTCCTTCCCCTTATTTTTTTCTCCTCCCCGACTTTGTAAAACTGTGACTCCTCTGTAATTTCCTTCCTTTTAGTGTAACTAGGAGAGCCTTCTTTAGTAAGCTTATGGTAAGTAATCTTAAGTTATAATAAGCACTGGGAAATATTACTAAAAAGAACGAAGAAAGGGAGCATATACTAATTCTTCTGTGCACACAAAATACATTTTAACACGCCCACAACTGAAGAATCACTAAATGTATATTTCCTGTTATAAATTCAAAGATGACCAGATCAGTATAAAAAGACAACAAATTTAAAAAAAAAACACATTACATATTACAACTGTATTTATGCCACTTAAAGTTACAAATCAAGTATTTTTCTAGAAAAACAATGTCAAGATCAATCTCTGAAGTAGGAAAGAACAACATAAGTCAGAATACTTAAATTTTCGTCTGGAGCTATGCTTCTTCAAAAAGCTTCAATTCCTCCCATACTTACCAAATAAATGCATACTGCCCTCAGCTTTATTTAATCAAGAGTATAGTAGTTCAGAATGCAAATTCTTTACTGCATACATCATAAAGAATAACCCTATTTAGTCTATACAGAGGTAAGTAAAAACATTTTAACTAATCATCTCTCCACCAATTTTTTTTACAACTACTGTTCTTGAGTAAAATCCCAATTATTAAAGAACTGAGACAAAGAAAACTATAAATTTACTTGTCACTTCACCTATGTTAGGATATTTTCATTGACACATAAAATTCCTACACCGCTCTATGTTCCACGAGACCCTTGGGTTCTATCCTACACAGCAAAGCAAAGAGCAACCTATCAACACTCAAAGAATATAAAATATATTCCAGACCATTAAACAGATGCAATGAAAACAAGTCAAGTTCTTGAAATTGAACCATCCAGGTGTTCCTCCAAATCATAAGAATTCCATCTCCACATGATGAAATACCCAAGAAGAGTGGCTTAAACTAGAAAAATAGTGAGTTTCTGCACACCTCTTCCCTTTAATTTCTAAAACAAAAATGCTAATGTAACAAAATAATGTTTTCAGTATGCTGGAAGTCAAGTTATTACGTGTGGTTTCTTTAAACTTAAGTTGCAGTATTTTTGTACCCAAAGCTACTTTCGATAACTTGCTGTGGGATATGACTACATAAGCCTTGGGCCACAGTACAGCAGTGCGTCACTGCTCCATGTATCCAGTGGGTTTTCAGCAAAAGGGAATCCAGTGGAGGTTAACTGGTAAGATGCCTGGAAATCCAACTAGATATTCTCCTTCCTCTTGTAGCACAGGAGTCAGACCTCACCAGGAATGGAGTCCAGGAACACTCAGGTGAGTGGATCAAACCAGGCACACTGAAGTCATATAAAAGGACTGTGCTCACTAAACTCATGTCCTGCAATTCTTTAACTATGAATAGGTAAAGAAAATGAAAACAGACGTAACGCGTTTTGGTGGTAAGTCAGTAACTAAGTATTTTCAATACTGGCAGCAAACAGTCCCTACTACCATAAAAATCTCTTTTTTCTTTAACAGCAAAAAATCCAAGACTTAAATAAGAAGGCAATTCTGTGATACAAGTTAACACCCCCAAAACTACTCCAGGAAGCCTGACAAGTACATGAGAGGCCCACCATCTTATGCTTCTGTATTCCAAGATTTAAGGATATTATGTATAAACAAATAGTAGTCACTCTCCACTTCATTTAGCAAATGAAGGCGTTGAAAACTGAGAGCTAAGTGGTCAATAAAATCACTTACTTCCTCAATCTAATTTCTGGTGCCTTTGACATAAAAATATGGAAATGTTTGGCAATTTTCTGCCTTCCTAAATCAAGTATTTACACGATTTGCCTCAATAGAGATCCGAAAGGTCCAAATATAACAATTTGAACTCCAGGGGAATAAATAATAATGAAATTCACGGGTAAAAATTAAACAAAACAAACTACAGAACTGATGTTTAAAGGCTTAAAACCAGACACAATGTTAAAATTTCCTATAGCATATTCTAAGGCCTAGTTAATCCTAACCCACCTTGTTTGCCTACCAATCTGAGCGCTAACCTGGGGAACTTGTTTACTAGACATGAAGAGAAGGCTGGGAAGGGATGCGGCTCAGTGGTAGAGCGTTTGCTTCTCTGCCTTGCACAAGACCCTTGGGTTCTATCCTACAGCAAGAGAAACAAGAAAAGCTTCCTCCAAGAACAGAAGAAAAAAGGTAAATGATAGGCAAAAAGAAAATAGAGTAAATAACAGACAGCTTTGATACTTTCATTTGTAAAGTTTTGGTTTGGGTTTTTTAAAGGGGAAAAAAAAAAAAACCCAGCCAGTTCTAGAGGTAGAGGGTGGAAAAGAAACTTGGAGGTTCTGTCTGGGGGAAGAACCCCCAGTTTGAAGCTGGATAGGGCCTACTGGGTTAATTTTTCCTGCTCACCTACACACTATCAAGGAAATTACTAAATTAATCAAAGGCGGGTCAGCTTGTTCTCCCCCGGACCCAGACCGCAGGTCAGCAAGCCGCGGGCGGGCGCAGCGACGTCTGGGCTCGCGGGGGAAGAAAGTTCGCGGGAGCAGGCTGTGCGAAGTCCGCGGGCCGCGCGGGTGAGCGGGCGGGCGGGCGGGCCGGCCGGTGAAGTTGCGCCACGGGCGGCTTCCGGACGGGCGCCCTCGCCCGCTCCTCACCCCGCAGCCGCCTCCCAAGTGCCTCAAGTCCGACGGAGCCTCTCCACCCAACTAAGTTCCGTGGAGCCCGGCTCGGCTGCCCGGCCGGACAACAGGTGGGCAGCGGCGCCACAGGCCCGACCCGGGCAGGCCCGCGCCTCCCGCCCGCAGCCCTCCA